TTGCACCCATAGGATCCACCTAGAGGACCAATCTATGTCCTCTATTGAGCATCAACGACGTCTTGACCCCAACCTTAAGGAAGTGGTTAAGAAGGAGATACTAAAACTTCTTGAGGCAGGGATAATTTACCCAATCTCTGACTCAAGATGGGTGTCTCCTGTTCATGTTGTGCCCAAGAAGGGTGGGATCACAGTGGTTAAAAACGAGAAAGATGAGCTTCTAGCTACTAGGACTGTCACAGGACACAGAATGTGTATAGACTATAGAAAGCTCAATGCAGCCTCTAGAAAGGATCATTTTCCTTTGCCTTTCATTGATCAGATGTTAGAGAGGCTAGCAAACCACCCTTCTTTTGTTTTCTCGATGGGTACTCGGGGTTCTTCCAAATTCCCATAGATCCCCGAGGTCAAGAGAAAACAACATTCACATGCCCTTATGACACCTTTGCATACAGGCGAATGCCTTTTGGTCTCTGTAATGCCCCTGCCACATTTCAACGTTGCATGATGCATATCTTCTCTGACATAATTGAAGAGAAGGTGGAGGTGTTCATGGATGATTTTAGTGTCTATGGCTCCTCCTTCTCGGATTGTCTCTTTAATTTGTCACAGGTCTTGGAGAGATGTGAGCAGCATAACTTGGTGTTGAACTGGGAGAAATGCCACTTCATGGTGCAGGAAGGAATAGTTCTTGGACACAAGATATCTGAGAAGGGCATAGAGGTTGACAGAGCAAAAGTAGAAGTGATGGTGAATCTACAAACTCCCACTTCAGTCAAAGGAATAAGGAGTTTCTTTGGGCATGCAGGGTTTTACAGAAGATTTATCAAAGACTTCTCAAGAATTGCCAGGCCCTTGACAAGGCTGTTGTGTAACGAAGTTGATTTCATCTTTGATGCTTAATGTGAAGAGGCCTTCAAGTTGATCAAGGATGCATTAGTCAGTGCACCAATAGTCCAGGCACCAGATTGGTCCCTTCCTTTTGAGGTTATGACAAATGCATCTGATTTTGCTGTTGGAGCAGTTCTTGGGCAAAGGAAAGACAAGAAGCTACATGTTATTTACTATGCCAGTAGAACACTTGACTCTGCACAAGAGAAGTATGCTACTACTGAGAAGGAAATGCTGGCAATAGTCTTTGCCTTTGATAAATTCAGAACCTACCCGGTGGGATCAAAAGTCATTGTATATACTGATCATGCAGCCCTCAGGTATCTGATGATATGTAGATTAGGGTGCTCTAGTGTGTTGATCATGATTAGTGAGTAATCTCCATATTAAGGTCTTAGATATGTAGATTATGGTGCTTAAGTGGTAGATTAGTGAGCTTAGGGGTTAGATCTTGCATATTCCATTCTCTACAACCTGTTCTTAATGCTAGATCCATACAAATCATATGTGGTCTAGATTCTGGGCATTTCATGCACCAAAAGTGTTTGATGAAATGCTTGAACCAAGGTTGTTAGAGGTTTTAAGTGTTATTCATCATGGGAATGATTGTTTATATGCTTAAATGACAGATTAAACTGATTCTTAATGCTTGTTAACTCATGTTTCACTGATGATGATTGGGTTTGAAACTGTTTTAGCATAGAAGTTAATACCTTCATGAGAGAATTAACTTAATTAAAGATGTTTATGTTGAATGGCTGATAACACCGTATTTTGACCACTTTTATGGATCGTTTTGAAATACTTGTTATATGTTTTTAATTGCTTTTAAGTACTTTTATCACGTTTTTCTAGTATTTGTAGTTCCAAGACTCTTTTCAGGTAACTTAGGGAAAAGCTTAACAAAATGGATAGAAAACCAGATTTCAGCTCAGAGTCAAACCGTGAGAAGTTCACCCCTGATTGAAGGCTTCTCACCGTCAGATCCAGCTCAAATTTGGAGACCTTAATGATGGAAGTATCAGCTTTCCAGTGCACTTTACAGCTTGGCAATCCAACGGTTCAATCAAAAGATACGCGAACAGCAAGATGTCCCGTAAACCAGCTGGCCAGCACTTCAACCCGCGGCCAACAAGCATTTTCCCGCGGTCAGGAGCATCCCGACTGCGGCGAACCATACATTCCCCGCGGTCAGAGCACTCCCGACCGCGGCCTTCAACCTCCAAGCTCATATCTCCTTGGTTGGTGTTGGAAGGGCTGATGGTGGTGAGCATGTTTAATTTGCTGTACATTGGCCTGGTGCCTTTGCTGATGAGCTGGAGCTTGTCCTTGGTGGACATAAGCTTGCTGTTGATGCTCTTGTTCCTGATGAACATTACCCTGATGTAACCCTTGACCAACTCCATTACCAGCTGCATTACCAGCTCCATTACCCTGAGCCTGTTGCTCCTGAGCCGGTTGCTCAATGTCAACTACATGCTGTCTTTTATCTTCCATATCAGCCTGATCAATCTGTCTTCCACGCCTATCCCTTCTCCTCCTTGGAACCAAAAGATTAATGTTGTCGTTTAAGGGGAAAGGTGGACCACAGCTTCCTGATCTGGACCTGGTGTTCATGCACCTGAAACTCACAACAAGAACTTGAAAGAAATTAGAAAACACAAAAGAAAATGCTTGATCTCAAGAAATGACACAATCTTAATGCTATCACACTTTGGCAACGGCGCCAATTGATAACTTAGAGTTTTCAAGGCTTTAAATGAGGGGTTATCAATCCCTTTTGTTACTTTTCAGTACAAAGGGTATCAATCCATCATGTATAGACACTAAGATGCAAGATCAGTTCTTAATTCAAGCCAAATGAGTAAGGTTTTGATGTTACTTCCACTAAACAAACTTAAAACAAGAATGAAAGCTAATGATCAACTTAAACAAGCAAATGACAAGATGAGATGATATGAAATGATGGAAGTATGAGACTCTAGACATGATAGTTGGCTAGGGTGCTTTGATGCTAAATCAGGAATGCTAATGACAATGATGAGACATGATTCAAGTGATTTAGAACTCTAATCTAGATTAATCCTTGTTGGGGGTCGGTTTCCACCCCAGCTGAATTAACCATTTCAAAATGACTAAGTGTCAAAAGACACTGGCAGACCCGAGCCCTGCAAAGAGATGAGCCGAGCCCGTCTATAAAATAGGATGGGCTAACCCTAGAAGCAGTATGGGCCGAGCTGTGCAAGAGAGAATAAAGCCGAGCTGTGCAAGAAGGAGAATGGACCGAGCCGTTATCTTTTGCAATAGGGCCAAGCTGATTCTTCCCAGATGGGCCGAACTGAAGTTTTGAAGGACGAAAGCCCATAAAAACCCTAGGCGATGCCTTGTGGTGGTGGCCGCACGAAGCGATAAGGAAATATTCCAAAAATCTCTCCTAAGATTCTCGGCTAGCCGGTTTAAGGAGTTAGTATAAATAGAAGATTTACACGATTCATTATGTAATTTTTCACAACTCGAGAGCAATAAAACTTAAACACTTTTCAGCAAAAAACTTTCTTTTGATCTTATTGTTTTTGCGATAAACCCTAGAAGTTTCGGATCCCTTAAGTTCTCCTTAACAAATTTTTGGATGTGCGAGTTTTGGCTCACACAATTTGGCGCCGTCTGTGGAGAATCGAAACTTTCTTACTCTAAAATCGACAAGACTTTAAGATCCGAAGAACATGGCGAGCAACACCCTCGACGATAACAACAACAACAACAACGACCACGGCGCGGAGAAGGACGCTCCAGCATTGGGCACAACGACGGCGACAACTGAAACCCAAGAGGAGATGCGAAACATGATGGCTGCGTTGATGAAGAACGACGAGCAGGACAAAAGAAACGAGGCGATTACGGAAAGGCTCGACGCAATGACGGCCGAGCGATGACACCCGACTCGGAGAGCCGGAATCTCCGACCCGATGGATGGAGTCCGGAGACGGTTCGATTTCTCAACGCCTGCAGAAGCCTCGGGAAGCGGTGCAAGAAACCACTTGGCTCCACCAATGTTTTTTCCCCTCGGCGAACAGACTCCCGCGGCGACCCGAGTCAACATGACCGAGCTGCCTCCACTCCGTCGGAACTCAAGGCGACGATCCGACGAAGAGGAGAATGACGCGATCGACGTAGACGCCCAACAGAACGATGGAACCACGAACTCGCAACAAAACGGCTCGGCTCGGCGAATTAGCCAAGAAGAGCTCGCTCGGCACTAAACGGCATCAGGACTGATGAAGTCACCGACCCGGCTCGCGGCGACAACTCGACTGAAGAAGAGGAAAACCTCCAATGGATCGAGCAGGCAGAGCGCGAAGATGAGCCGAGGAGAGAAGAGCGGGAGCGGCCTCGCCAATCAAAGGGAATGACTCACGCACAAACCCTCGAAATCAAAGAGCTGCGAGCCTCAATGGCTCGGACGGTGGCCGTGATACGGCCATGAAGTCTCAATTGCATAACGCGACGAGTGTCGCACCCGAGATCGATCGAATGCTCAAAGAGATCCAGAGAACACCATTCACGGCAAGAATCACGGAGGCTGGGATTCCTGAGCCCCGGAAGGTGAGAATCCCATTCTACGAAGGAACGACCGACCCGAAGGCACCCATCACAGCGTTTCGGATAGCAATGGGACGAGATTTCACAAGGAACGCTGCCAACCTGACCGAGCGGGAAGTAGATGCCGGATATTGCCTACTCTTCGTAGAACATCTCAAGGGTGCCGCGCTCGAATGGTTTTCGAGACAGGAGCGCAATTCGATCTGCAGTTTCCAACAGCTCTCCGCTTTGTTCCTTAAGCAATATTCGATGTTCATGGATAGAGGAACTTCTTATGCCGACCTGTGGACGCTATCCCAAGGACCGAATGAACCGCTTCGGGATTACATGGCAAGGTTTAAGGCGGTCGTATCTAAAGTAGAAGGAATAAGCGACAAGGCTGCACTCGAGGCTCTGATGTGGTCCTTGTGGTACAAATCCGAATTCCGACAGGAAATGGCCCTCACACGCCACAAACGATTCAAGATGCCTTGCATCGGTCGTCAGACTTCGTCGTAAATGAAGAAGAGATGAAGAATCTGGACGAGCAGTACGAAGCAACGAAAGCAGCGATCCGGAGCTCAATTTTGACGCGCCCCTCGAAGAAAGGCAACCCATCAAAGAACGCAACGACACAGAGCTCGGTCGAACCAAGAAACGGAGGTGCCCACAATTACCAAGTTGGTGCCGGGCGCGGAAGAGGAGAGCCGCGCAGCAACACTTGGGTAAGAAGGCCCACAAACTACGACGAAAAGGCGTTCTACGAGTATCACCAAACCTATGGGCATCCGACGGCAAAATGCCGAACTCTGGAAGCCAAACTCGCGGCTAAGATGGCGGCGGGAGAGCTCTTGAACGCGGTGAATCTCAAAGACATCGTCCCTAATGAGCCAAAAGAGGGAACCGAGCCGAGCGGCACAGCAGAACCCGCAAATCCTCCCCGGCGGGGCGATAACACCAAGCGCGACATGAGAGGCGAACCCGAAGAGCAACCCGAGCCGAGACAAAGGATCAACATGATCATGGGTGGATCTCAATATTACCAAGACACGGTGTCTTCCATGAAGGCTTATCAGCGCCGAGCCGAAGCGAAGGAAAATTGGACAGAACCGACCGATATTCTGAATACGGTGATCTCCTTCGCTGAAGAGGAAACGGCAGGGATAGATAGACTGCACAACGATCCACTAGTGATCGAATTGATGATCAGAGACCACGATGTAACGAGAGTGCTCATCTATAATGGGAGCTCGGTAGACGTCATTTTTAGGGAGACAGTCAGAATGATGGGAATCGATCTCTCCGAGGTGACGGCGATCCCCAAACCTCTAACCGGATTTTCAGGAGAAACAATGATGACTATGGGCACAATTAAGCTCCCTATGGTAGCCGGCGGAGTCACTAGTATCGTCGAATTCTGCGTCACCGATGACCCAGCAATCTACAATGTGATTATGGGAACTCCATGGATCAATGCAATGAGGGCGGTCCCTTCCACCTATCACCTCTGCCTCAAATTCCCGACTCCAGCAGGCATCAAAATAATTTGGGGAAACCAGAAGGAGTCGCGAATGTGTTGCTTGGCGGAGCACAAGTTGAGGAACCCCGTCACCGATGCGCGACCAGACGTAAATCGCAAAACGCTGAAGACGGACCGAGAGCCTACGAACGAGCTCTCAAAACTCTTATAGCAATTACAGATTGCGGAGAGCCGCGAAACGCGCGCCGAGCCGGTATGTGACGCGGTGGACTCGGTGTGCATAGACGCGTTGAAATTGAAACTAAGCTAGAGGAGCCTCTGAGAAGCGAGCTTCTTTCCCTCCTCAAAGAGAATATCGACACTTTTGCCTGGACAGCGGAGGATATGCCAGGCATAAGCATCAACGTGACCTGTCACGAGCTGAACATGGACCCCACCTTCAAACCAATCAAGTAAAAAAGGAGGAAGCTCGGACCCGAACGAGGTAAAGCAGTTAACGACGAAGTGGAAAGATTCCTCAAAGTAGGATCAATCGCCGAGGCCAAATACCCGGACTGGCTTGCGAATCCGGTGGTTGTGAAGAAGAAGAACGGCAAGTGGCGGGTCTGTGTAGACTTCACTGACCTCAACAAGGCGTGCCCAAAAGACAGTTTTCCACTACCACACATCGACCGGCTCGTCGAAGCCACCGCGGGAAACAGGTTGTTAACATTTATGGACGCGTTTTCTGGTTGCAACCAAATCCTGATGCATCCCGACGACCGGGAAAAAACAGCGTTCATAACCGATCGCGGGATATACTGCTACAAAGTCATGCCGTTCGGATTCAAGAACGTAAGGGCAACATATCAGCGGCTCGTCAATTAAAATGTTCGCAGATCAGCTCGGAAAAACCATGGAGGTATACATCGATGATATGTTGGTCAAATCACTTGAAGAAAAAGACCATATCGCGCACCTACGAGAATGCTTCGAGCAATTGAACGAACACAACATGAAACTAAACCCGGCGAAGTGCAGATTCGCGGTAACCTCGGGAGAGTTCCTCGGCTACTTGGTAACTCACCGAGGCATTGAAGCGAATACCAAACAGATCAAGGCATTAATCGAGATGCCCTCTCCAAGAACGAAGCGAGAAGTTCAAAGGCTCACATGAAGAGTCGCTGCGCTAAATAGATTCATTTCCTGTCTACCGACAAGTGGCTGCCTTTCTACGACACCCTTTGAGGAAATAAGAAGCTCAAGTGGGACGAGCGATGCGAAGCAGCTTTCCGGGAATTGAAGACCTATCTGGCGAGCCCGCCGATCTTGGCAAAACCAGTTGAAGGAGAGCCCATCTTCCTCTACATCGCCGTATCTCCCACGGCTGTAAGTGGAGTGCTGATAAGAGAAGAGCGATCCGAGAAGAAACCCATTTTCTACGTCAGCCAGACACTGACCGATGCCGAGACCCGTTACCCTCAGATCGAGAAGGTCGCCCTAGCCATTGTAGTATCGGCTCGCAAGCTGCGTCCGTATTTTCAATCACATTTGATTGTTGTGCTCGGTACACTTCCGCTGCGCTCGATCCTGCATAGCCCGAGCCAATCCGGGCGGCTCGCCAAATGGGCCATCGAGTTGAGCAAGTACGACATCGAGTATCGGAATAGGTTGTCTGCGAAATCACAGGTGCTCGCAGATTTTCTCATCGAACTTCCGGCCGAGGCGACGACCGAGCCAACCCCAGACGAAGTATGCTGCACGTCGACGCCTCGTCGTCTAAACACGGGTCGGGAATAGGAATCCGTCTCACCTCTCCCACCAGGGAAATATTGGAGCAGTCTTTTCGTCTGAACTTCCATGCCTCGAACAACGAAGCAGAATACAAAGCACTGATCGCTGGCATACGACTGGCGCAGGGAATCGGAGTTCGAAAGATAAGAGCCTTTTGCGATTCACAGCTCGTAGCATGTCAATTCAACGGAGAGTACAAGGCGAAGGATGGACGAATGGGAGCTTACCTCAGAGTGGTCTGAGATTTGGTGCAAAAGTTCGGCGAGTTCGAGCTCACACGAATAACCCGAGGTGAAAACACCTCGGTAGACGCCTTGGCAGCACTTGCGACAACTTCAGACCGGAACCTCCGACGGACAATTCCAGTTGAATTCATCGAACGTCCAAGCATCCAAGAGCTAGAAGGAGTTCAACTGATAAATCCTCCCGAGCAGGAACCAAAGAGCGGCGAAGCAATCGCTATGGATGAAGACGCCTCACCAGCCGAGCTGGAGTACGACTGCGACAAAGAATGGCTCGGAGCCATCCAAGTATATATCGCCGATGGAGAAGTAACATCCGACAAGTGGGAAGCCCGCAAATTAAAGGCTCAGGCCGCACGATATGTTCTTGTCGACGGCGAGGGGTTTAAATGGAGATTTTCAGGACCGCTCATGACATGCGTCGAGGGACCGGAGGCAAGAAAGATAATGCACGAAGTGCACAGCGGCGCGTGCGGAAATCATTCCAGCGGAAGGTCACTTGCGATCAAAATAAAACGTCACGGTTACTTCTAGCCTACGATGGTCAAAGACTGTGAGAAATTTACGGTGAACTGCAGGAAGTGTCAACGGCATGCACCTACAATCCACCAACCCAACCGAGCTACTGTCATCGATTTCATCACCCTATCCCTTCATGAGATGGTCGATGGATATAGTCGGACCTCTACATCGATCGAAGCATAAGCGATTTCTGCTCGTCCTTACGGATTACTTTTCTAAATGGGTCGAGGCCGATTCCTACGCGAGCATAAAAGATGCTCAGGTCGAACACTTCGTCTGGAAAAACATCATCTGCCGGCACGGGGTCCCCTACGAGATAGTTACTGATAACGGATCCCAGTTCATCTCAACCCGCTTCGAAGCTTTCTGCGAGAAATGGAAAATTCGTCTGAGCAAATCTACACCGAGATATCCCCAAGGGAATGGACAAGCCGAAGCAGCCAACAAGACGATCCTAGATGGTCTGAAAAAGAGGCTCGACGCCAAGAAAGGACGATGGGCAGACGAGCTCGAAGGAATCCTTTGGTTGCATCGGACAACTCCGCGCCGAGCCACTGGAGAAACTCCATTCACTCTAGTCTATGGAACGGAGTGGGTAATTCCCCCCCCCCCCCGAGGTGGATTTCCCAGGTATTCGACGAAGACTTCTGCCAGGACAAGAAGGCTTAAACCAATTAATACTGCTGGACGAACTCGATTTGGTCAACGAAAGGCGCGGCCAGGTTCTAATCCGAATCCAGAACTACCAACAAGCAACGGCGAGATACTACAACAAAAATGTCCGAAGTCGAAGATTTAAAGAAGGAGAGCTCGTTCTTTGAAAAGTTTTCCAAAACACTGCCGAGAAGAATGTAGGAAAGCTTGGAGCAAATTGGGAACGTCCTTACAAGATTACAAAAGTAGTTTGCCCAGGAGTCTACGAACTTGCGACGGTAGCTGACGAAGCAATTCCAAGATCGTGGAATGCAATTCACCTGAAGAACTATTATCACTAAGGCTACAACACAATCAACATGAACTACGGGACGGCTTGATCCCTGCACATGGTACGTAGGCAGCCCGTCCACGGACGGGTTCAGCTGTCCCCCCTCCTAAAAAGGGGGGTGGGGAGAGTGGGTACGTATACACATACCTTCATTAACTTTGAAAATTTTAGCTCGTCGAAGTCCACTATCCCTCTGGTCATTGTCGCTTCGGCCAGTTTCTTATTCGTTTTAAATCAGCTAGTTGTTTCATGATTTTCCTCGGATTTTAATTCGTTCGTTGTCGCTTCGGCTAGTTTTTCATTCACTTATGTACACTTCTCCTTGCATTCACTTCGGCAAACTACGTATCCATACACCTCGCCTCGTTGCTGGCCACAACGAGGCAACAGTCACAAAGTTCTCTAAATGGACTTTTAACCACCTTTCCTAGGACGAAGGTGCAAGTTACATCCTCTATGGATCAAAATCAAGCACGCTATACAAATTTCAGACCAAAAACGTATCGGTCACCACGGTTCGTCATCCCACACGAGACTGTAGTTCGAGACTACATCGTTTTCTCTAAACCGAAACGAACTCTTAAAACCTGGCAAACACATTCACCCTCTCGGGAACGCTGGTCTACAATCAAACTTTGATATCGTCTCACGACATGGACCTCGGCAACGAGAGTTCCAAACTTAGCGCCTCAAACGGCCAAAACTAAATCCGACCTAAAAAGCCTTCGCACTAAATCTTTCCTAACTCGTACACCTCGGCACCCACGGTCGAAGGCACAAAAGAACGGCAATCTATTTAAAGAGTCAACCCCAGCTCGGGATTTAGACTTAAATACAATCTGTAACAGCATATCCCGTTTTCTATCAATCTCTCATAACGATTCGGCCAGGGAAGCAAACAAAAGCCCCCTCAGCCCGGTTCGACAAACCAGTCAATAACAGCTCGGCCTACTTACGCCAGCTCGTTCTAGTGCAAGCTTGTTCTAACTAAAGTTTCCTCAAAAGCTTATAAACCACCAAAGGCGGAAACAGCGATTTCAAAAAATGAGTAAGGGGAAAGATGAAGACGATAACCATTGCTAAACCTTTCCAACGATATAAAAAGAAACAAAAACACCAGAGTCAAGTGGATAAAGCCGTCCAGGCACCAATTATAGAAAAAGACATCCAGGCCTTCAGTACAAAACGCGTGAAGTAAGAGACAAAGGAAGAAGGAAAGAGTCAAGCCGCAGACTGCGTTTCCTGCTCGGCGAGGAGGTTCGAAAGGGCTGGCATACCCGCATTTGATCCGGTCGGATCTACGACACCCAAGTTGGCCGCTGTCTCTTCGAGCGGCTCGTTACCCAGACTGGCATCTACAGAGTGTGGCGACACAGGCGAGAAGACTAGCTCACCTTGGATCTCGGAGGCAATGCGCTCATACGCCTCGTCGTCGGCGTATTTGCTCTCCCAACTTTTTAGCTTCGCCTCTTCGTCATCGAGTGTTGGGCCGTCCGGTTTCCTCAGATAGACGATCATTGCAAGGTTGCCCTTGATCTGCCCCAGCTCGTTCTCATCAGTTTTGGCCTTCTCGAGCTTAGCTAGACCTTCCTCCACCTTGGCAAGGCATTCCTGAAACTTAGCCGTCAACTCTCGCCTTGCTTCTTTCTTCGCACGCCTGACCATAGCGTCAAACAAGGCATCCTTGGC